CGCAGAGACACCCCGAGCATAGCCCTCTCCATAGCTCGCTGAGCGACCTTGAGCTTCCTCATACGGCTAGCAGTGAAGGACCACGTCTCAGATTCGTAAGTCATCACTGGCAACACGCACTGGTTGTACAATTTCGTTTTCAGGTTTTGAGGTATGTCTAACGAAAAGATGTGTCGTACTTTCCCGAACGCTGCTCAACCGAGTTGAATCTATCGATTGACCTCTCGGTCGTAGTTGGACTTACCAAGTCCGACTATTTGTCCCAGGTAAACATACTCGTCAACAACTTCGAGCTTAGTGCTCCCAACAACTACCGTCATAGGTGTGACATGGACGTTAAACATGATTTTTGTTTTGTCCATGTTCATCTTAAGACCTATTCGTTGGGAGACACTATTGAGGTCATTGAGCATAGTGCTTAGGTCCTCTAGCGATTCTGCTATAAGGACTATATCGTCGAAAAATCGAAGGTGAGTGATGTACTCGCCATTGATATTAATACCGTATCCTTTCCAGCCCAGTAGCTTGAAGATGTTGCCCAACGGTGAAGAGTTTCGGGGATATAACGTCACCCTGTCTTACACACACACACACATATATATATATATATATATATATATATATATATATGTGTGTGTAAGACCTATATATATATAGGTGTAAGACAGGTAGGTTTCGTACTCTGATTCTGTACTCGGATGGGCATCGTAGCTCTACTGTACAAACAGGTCAGCACTTCGATATACCGACAGTCAACTTGGCACCGCTGAAGGGACTGCAAATTTCGACGGAATCCAAGGCTTTCTCATAGTCCACATACGCAGAGCGAAGTGGCAGATTATACTCCTCTGTCTTCTGTACAATCTGCCGCAGGGTATGCATGTGGTATATGGTACTAAAGCCTTTTCGGAAACCGGCTTATTCGGGAGGCTGGAAGTCGTCAAGTCTGCGTGCGAGACGATTCCTAATGACTCTCGAAAACAGCACGTAGACGCGGCTCAGAAGGGAAATCGGTCCGTAGTTCTTCAATGGAGCGTTGTCGCCTTTCTTGAAGAACAAGACCACCACACACCGCTCCATGCCTCCAGAGTAGTGCCACCATGGAGGAAGGAATTTAAGAACTTCTGAAGGACTTCAACTTCAACTTCTTCCGCTGTAATTCCATCCTCGCCCGGGACTTGCCGTTTTTAAGGTGCTGGAGAGCCATTCTAATCTCGCTCAGACTGACGTCTGGGATATCTTCGGAATAGTGTCGAAAAAGACTCGCTCTGGGATAACGATCCACACTTGCGTGTGGCTCCAACTATGACGTGTACAGCTGCCCATAGAACCTCTCAATCTCACTCAAAATCTCAGGTGTCCCGGAAACGATGCTGCCACACTCGGTCTTCAGCTTTGACAGTTGGCTCTTTCGGGCAGACAGATCTCTGGCAAAGACTTTGGAGCCTTGGTTCCGCTCGATCGCTTCTTCAATACAAGCTGTATTGAAGTTCCGTAAGTCCCGCCGCATACATTTGGAGATCTGTCTGTTCAGTTGCAGCATATAGCTGTCATATCTGTTGAAGAGTGTAGCTTCATCTCCCGTCTAACAGCCATGAGATTAAGAGTGTGATCGGAGAGTTTTTATGTTCTTCTGTGGCGGGTTTTGCAGAACTTAGCTCCAACCGCATGGACAGTTTCCACGAGCTTGTCATTCATATCGTCCACTTCATTGCAGTCTTATAGGCACAGAAAACGGTTTTGTAACTCGAGTTGAAAGGTTTTGGGACTTTAGAACAGAGCACGAGGGGGACGGAGCGTTGACTTCATTAGACGAGACCTCTCCAACTTAACGTTTAGGTTCAGTGTGCCACTCACTATTCGGTGATCGCTGCTTGTTTTCATCCCCGCGATCTTTGAAACATCACTGAACAGTTGTCGTCTGGTCGTCCTAATGAAGTCAATCTCATTTTTTGTCGAACCTTCGGGGCTCGACCAGGTTCACTTCCTGTGGGGCTGTTTCTGGAAGAAAGAGTTCATCATAAAGAGTCCATGAAGTCGGCCAGCTGCTGGCCCTTTGGATTCCGTTGCCGTATTCCAAATTTCCCTACTTTCAGCTCACCGTTCTCTCTTGTGTCTAGTTTCGCATTGAAGTCTCCTATTAACACCGTATAGTGGGTTTTGGAGGAATGCATGGCTCTAGAGCCATGAAATGCATGAGGATATCTCTAGAGATTTCCTCATACATTTCCTCCAACTCCTGATCGGGGTGTGCTGAGGTTGGTGCATAAACCTGTATGACCTTCAGCGAATACTGTTTGGTGATTCTGAGTATAAGGTACGCAACCTTCGTCCACACACCCTTAATCTTTACAACGTTGTTAATGAGAGACTTGTGGACAATAAATTCGACACCACCTTGGAACAGATGGTCGCCCTTCCGGTGATAGAACAAGTTGCCGGATTCGAGGATTACCGTGTCCTCCCCCTCTCTTCGGATCTCGGATAAACCTATAATATGCTAGCGTAACTTGTCTATCTCTTCTTCCACTTCCACGATCTTCTCGTCAGTCCTCAGGGTGCGTGCGTTGTATGTTGCCAGGTCGAGTCGTTTTAGGTGTCAACCGAACCTCCACCGGAGATTCTTAGCACCCCCTGCCCCGCCGTTACCATGGTCGACCATATAACATTCAAGAATCTGACACCAAAAGGAGAATGCCAAATTTTCTATAGAACTTTGCCTCACCCAAAAGTGTGATGTACACGAATGCCGTATACAACATTTCTTGTCTACTTTATTACTTCATCCAAATTATATAATTTGAGATCCCTAGAACTTGCGATTTTTTGTAAACTGTACTTTAGTATATTCAATGTAAAATAATTCATATGTTTAAGAAGAGAATTCGTTGTAGTTCATTGTAATTTCAGAATATAAATTGTCAGGCGATAATGTTACAAATATATACGTAAATGAGAATTTAAGTAGCATAGTTATATAATGATCAGTAACATTGGAAAAAGGGTTCTCTTGAATAGGATCTAAAAGTTCCTTACATAAAATAAGACTAGCACCACCTGTTTTTCGTAATATCTAAGTTCTAGTCATGTAAACGAGCTATATTATTTACATAATTATTTTTCAAGATACATATTATTATGACATGTGTCAGAAGAGGGTGTAAATATTTCATCATCATCATCATTATTACAGCCTTTCATAAGTCCGCTGCTGAACATAGGCCTCCAACAAGGAATGCCACAAAGCACGGTCCTGAGCCACCTGCATCCATCGGGAATCAGCACAAGCAAAAATGTGATATAATCTATTGATTATCAATATATTTCACAAGCACAAATTAATCAAATATTTGACATTAATTTGACATACGTAGTTACGATATTGACACAATGACGTGTGTGTATCATTTCACAAAATGCACGAAATCAATTATTGTTATTCAGTAAATATTTACAGATTAGTAATTAGCTAATTTTACGACAGCAGCAGGACCATAAATTATCAACTATTTTTATTTAAAGCTGTAAAACTAAATATATCTCTTGCAAAGATTTCCATGTTGAAACAAGAGTTAAGATTGTAAATCGAAATGAGGACACAAAATGAACCCTGCATCCTATCGACGCAAAGGTGACAATTAGTGCACCTCAACATTGTGGATGCAATTATCAGAATTTCCGTAGTAATTAGCAGTAAGTCAATAAGTAGGCGAGATTAATAAAAGCATAAGTCGTCAGCAAAAGCAGGTAAAAGTGCAACGGTAAAGAAAGCGGGAATCAGCACAAACAAAAATGTACTATAATCTATTGATTATCAATATATTTCACAAGCACAAAATAATCAATGTGTGAAAATATTCGACATTAATTTGACATACTTACTTACGATATTGACACAATGACGTGTGTATATCATTTCACAAAATGCACGAAATCAATGATCGTTATTCATGATTATTATCGACTTATAATAATAATTGAAAATGAAAATTGATAAGTAACATTTTAATATGACAAAGACTTATAGTATGTATGTATATTTTAATAGAAATATGTATTGTTTGATACTTTATGCGTACGCATGTAATTAACAAAATCTGCGTTTCTTTGTTTCATACATTTTATTAGAAGAGACGGGAAATGTAAATCGTTAAATTCCTTTTTTTATATAATATTTTACCGCAAGTTATACAAAATAACAATTTATCAGAAAAAACTTCAAAATTCATAAGATTAATTTCATATGTTTACCTTTTTTGTACAAGGTGGGGCACGATCTGGCATTGTTATTTACTACGACTTTTTTTATTAAAAAAAGAGGCTCGGACTATGTCCACTCTCCCCTCTATTACAAAAATATGTAAATAAAATTAACAAAAATATGTAATATATTATATGATTATCTGCGTAGTAATATTATTTGGATTAGAACGAATAGAATGACGTAAAACAAATTCGAAGAAAAGCAGTTACGCTGCTTTTCTTCGAATTTTGCTTAAAAGCTGGGAATTCATTAATCGTCGACGAGTTGACGGAATAGTATAATACCACAAACTAATAAGAAGTGCTAGTACACTGCGTATTTCTAAAGTGCGAGTGGGATAGAGTTTAAAAAATTATTGGATAGGATACGTTCATAAAAAAATACAAAGAAAAGTTTAGAGCACGCTCAATTTTGAAGTTTATTGATTTTTCATATCGATAAAATAAACTGAATCAATTATCACTCTTATTTTGTTATACAGATTATCAGATTTGAAGAGATCGTATATTTTGCGTACGATTACGAATACATGATCGTACATCGTACTAGGGCCAAAAAGATCGTATGAATACGATTTAAATCGTACGGCTGGCAGCACTAGTCAGTGCCAGCTGGACATATATATTACTCTACTCTATGCAGCTGGAGCTAGATAACTATAACATTTGAATGTAATTTGGTCTATGGCTTAAAACTAACCTTAAATATTTAATAAGTTTATTTATTTTCAAAAAAAATGGAATTAAACGAAAGAATCTTGCACTATTTAAACAACGTTGATACGGTTGACACTTTAAAGTTAGCCAGTGAATTTAATGAGGATCATCAAAAGATAGTCGGTGCAGTGAAAAGTATTGAAGCTTTAGACATGGTGAAGTCTGATGCAGTGAAAAGCACAAAGTGGGAATTGACAGAAGAAGGTCAACTCGTCGCTGAAAAAGGCAGTCACGAAGCTATTCTCTTTAGATGTATCCCAGAGAATGGAATAGCTCAAGCTGACCTTATGAAGGTAATTTTTATCTGTTTATCTTATTACCATATGACACCACGAAAAAGAAATAGTATTTAGAGAAAAAAAAATATTAAAAATAGTAGTTAGTGAAATAAGTGTTTTTTTAATTCATAATTTGATAAATTCAAAAAAAAATGAAATAGACCAAATGTTGATAAATTCACATTTCTATGTCACATAAAATAAGGAATAATAAATCAAAAATTGTACATCTGAGAATATTCCTAGATTATTTCTCTATTTCTAACAAGAATTATCTTTTGAGACAAGTAGTCATTATGGAACAAGGTATAATCATAGTTTTGCTAAGTCTAACCAAAAATATATAATGTATTATGTCATTGCTCCTTGACAAGATGAAAGAAGAATTAAATAAACAAACAATACAAATAACGGAAAATGTCACAAAAACAGTACTGAAAGTAGTGGACGAGAAGATACAACCAATAATAGCAGAAAATGAAAGACTTACAAGTGAAGTTGAAAAACTAAACAAGAAACTCCAGACTTTGGACATAAATGCTAGGAAAACAAAACAACATCATTCTACATGGGATCCCAGAACCTAGTACCGAAAATACATATAATACATACATATACATAAACACTCACGCCTCTCACCCAGAGGGGTAGGCAGAGACTACGGGCTTCCATTTGGCGCGATCCTGACACACCTCTCTTGCCTCTTTTACATCCATATATCTACGCATACACGCTCGTCGGTTAAGGGTACTCCTAATCTGGCCCATTTTTAATGTATCGCCGATTTGGTCAATAAACCTACGTCTAGGGCGTCCCTTCCCGACCCTGCCGTTCACTTCTGCAACATAAATTTGCTTTGTCACTCTTTCCTCATTTATTCTTTCTACATGACCAAACCACCGAAGCATTCCTTTCTTAATCCTTGTCACAACGTCATCTTGCAAACCACACTTTTCTCTTATCACACTATTTCTCACCCTGTCATTCAGATTCAGCCCTAGCATACTCCTTAAGGAACGCATTTCTACAGCATTTATTCTACTCTCATGCTTCTTCTGCCAGACCCAACTTTCACTACCATACATTAAAGTAGGGACTAACACAGCATTATGAATTGCCACACGTGCCTTAGTTGACACATTCTGACTCCATAATAGCGTGTAGAGCCCCATTCACTCCATTTCCTGCATTCACTCATCGTTCTATATCCTTATCATATCTACCATCCCTGCTAAATAAACATCCCAAATATACAAACTCATCCACTTGCTCAATCAACTCCCCTTCTATTCTTATTTCAAATAAAGTTTTACTTTCTTCTCTTTCAAAAACCATCACTTTCGTCTTACTTGCGTTCACTTTCATACCCCTTTCTTTCAATGACCAATTCATTAAAGTAACCATCATTTGCAACTCGGCCGCCGAAGATGCAAATATGACTTGATCATCGGTGTACAAAAGGCATTTGACGGTTGACTCACCCATTCTCAACCCACATTCTTCAACTTTAAGAGTTTGCAAACAACTGTCCATAAATAGGTTAAAGAGCCATGGGGAAGCCACACATCCCTGTCTGACACCTTTGTGAATGCCAAACCAGTCTGAGTAGACCCCGTTGATCCTGACACAAGCACTAGAGTCCCTATAAAGAGACCTTAATGCCTGTATCAAGCCAGCGCTCAACCCAAATGAGTTCAGTGTTTGCCATAACACATTCCTGTCCACTCTGTCATAAGCCTTTTCCAAATCCATGAACGCACAAAAAACTTTCTGGTTTTTGGCCAAAAACTTCTCCGCTATCATGCGCATGGAAAAGACTTGATCCGTACACCCCATCCCCTTTCTAAATCCAGCTTGCACATCCCAAATTTTTCCATCAGTTTCTTCCATAACTCTTTCAATTAACACCTTAGCATACAGTTTACCCACAATGCTAAGCAAGCTGATACCACGGTAGTTTTTACAGTCCTGCTGCGACCCCTTTCCCTTATATATTGGGACTATAACGGCTTTGCACCAGTCGTCCGGTACCCGCTTCAGTTCCCAACATAAATTAAACAAGGTGTACAGCAGGCCTGCAACCACACCCTCACCAGCCCTTAGCATTTCGAGTGATACTATATCATATCCGGCTGCCTTACCTGCTTTAATGCTTTTCATTGCTTTCATTATTTCATCTACACTTATCTCCCTACCTCTCTCCACTTCTTCCGGAATTTCTATTTCACTTATTTCAGACGACTCTTCACTCTTAAACACGCTTTCAAAGTATTCCTTCCATCTCTTTAAATTCGAAACTTCATCATTCAGCATGCAGCCATTCTCGTCTCGTATAGCATTCATTCTAGGCTGTTTTGAATTTCCCCTGGCAGTTCTTACGAGCTTCCAGAACATTTTAATATTTTCCTGGAAGTTATCAGATATCCTTCTATCATTTTTATCTATCCTATCTTGCTTTTTCCTTTCAACAACTTCTTTTACTCTCTTATTCATACGTCTAAAGTCTGCCTTTTTTCTTTCAATCTCATTCATACTGCCAGAATTACCAGCTTTAGTTGCTAGTAAATCTAGCCATGCTCTCTTCTTTGCTTCAACTTCCATCCGTACCTCATCATCCCACCACAACATATTACTTTTCCTTTCATTCGTTCTCTTACTTACGCCACATACTTCGGTGGCTGCATCCACCAAAACTTTCTTAATATTATTCCATACATTCTTCAATTCTAAATCATTCATACATAATTCATTCAACCCACTTATATTTACCCTCAGTCTGTATTTATACTTCTCTTTCACACCTTCATCTTGTAACCTCTCTATTCTTATACGCTGTAACGCAGTGGTAGACACCGATGTCCGATGCCGCCAACGTTTGAATAGACCATTAATTCGGCATAAGACCAAGTAATGATCCGTCCCTACGCTGGACCCCCGGTAAACCCTTGTATCTACCACTGCGCTCCTCATTCTTTCATCCACAATTATAAAATCTATCATGCTTCTATCATCCCCTCTTTCCCATGCATACATGTGAATCCTCTTATGGCGAAAGAAAGTGTTCGCCACAAAAAGATTCTTTTCCACACAACGGTGAGGACGTCTTCACCATTCTCATTTATTCATTCATCGCCAAACATTCCTAATATCCTTTCATAACCAGACCTCTTCACCCCAACCCTTCCATTAAAATCTCCTAACATAATAATATTTTCATTTTCCTTACATTTCATCAACACCATCCTTACCATGTCCCAAAACTGCTCTCGGATATAAATGGGCTTAGACATATCTGGGGCGTACACCCCTAGCACAAACAACTTCTTTAAGCCCACTTTCATTCGTATCCACAGCAGCCTTGGGCTAACACATTCATACTCTTTCACACATTGACCCATTCTTTCTGAAAGGATGACGCCGACTCCCTGGCATGCCCGCTCGGTCTCGTCTACTCCAGACCAGTAAGCGGTATACATGCCATGTGCAGTGACATCTCTTCCCTTTCGTTTCGTCTCGTTTACATATAACACATCTATTCCTCTATCATTCATCATAGAGGTCATTCCTCTATACTTCATCCATCTTATCATTCATTGCTCCACATACATTCAGAGACGGGTATCCGCAATCCACTTCCCCCCCCCCCCCCCCGAGACAGGACGTGACGGGTGGCGAACCTCGTCGCCGGTTTTTCTCCCGAAGATTCTTCGCACCCCTGCCCCATTAAAGGGGCCGGGAACTCGGGGCCATTTCTTTTTCTTCTTGGCTCATGGTGTGAACTAAGGGGTGGTAGATTTTACGCCGCTACCGTCGGCTTTGTCGCTCGTTTAGCACCACCCGGGGGACACGTGTAGGGTGGGCCTAGGATTAGGTGGTTGAAGTCTACGGACGCGAGCGACTCATCCCCCGAAAAATACGAAGATTTAAATACTTTGGAAATAAAAACAATAACGAATTTGGATGTACCACTTGAAAATAGTGAAATAAATAAAGCACAACGTCTTGGTAAAAAAGTAGAAAATGAAAAAAATAAGACCTATTCTGCTTACAATAACAACTCTGCGGAGGAAAATCCAAATCCTTAGAAACAAAAAGAAAATAAAAGAAAACATACATTACCAATGACTATTCTAAAGACATCATGGAAAAACGTAAAGCAAGAGCCACTAACTTTCGTGAAAATGAAAAAAGAAAAAGAACCTCAGAAACACCAAGCCCAAAAGAAACCACCAACAACAATAGCAAAAAAATCCAACGAATGGACGCATTTCAACTTACGCGCGAGCGATCATACTCATTGTCCGATAAAAATACTTGCCTCAACTACTAACGTGAAACGAAATACCACACAGACAAAAAAACCACAACAACAGCAAACAATCACACATTCCCCAACCCGGCTGGTCCCTGTAGGGAATTAGACCAATACCCTTCAATAACAATAAATCAACAACAACATGAAGATAAAAACAACATTGAACCAACTCTACCCAAGAAAAAGACTATCATCGAGACTCCATCAAACAAACATACAAAACTATACATTGCTTCTCTAAACATACTAACATTAAGATCAGAAGAAAACTTATTAGAATTATCACTAGCATTACAAAACACCAACTGGGATATCCTTGGCCTGACTGAAGTACGAAGAATGGGAGAAAATATTGTCGCACATCCAGACTTCATATTCTATCACATAGGGTAAACCCCAGGAAAATATGCTGTGGGTTTTTTAGTAAAAAAATATCTAGCAAAGCACATAGATGGATTTTATGGTGTTTCTGAGCGCACAGCATTGTTGAATTTAAAACTATCAGATTACAAAGACCCATGGACCATTTTTCAGATTTACTCACCCACAGAACAAGCAGAGATCGAAACAATTAGTCAGTTTTACCAGGATTTGAACAAAGCTTTACAGACTCATGCTCACAAAAATATCATTGTTATGGGTGACTTAATATTTAACAATATCTTTTGGCAGTACCCTATGGAATTTAAAAGTATTTGAACAAGCCTTTACTGTTTGTTTGAGCAATGATTCGGCGACAGTAGGAGAAGAATTTAATGATTTTGTTGTCAAGAAAGGAACACCAGTAAAATGTTTCTCAAAAGCCATAGCAACTTCTTGATCAGATCGCGTTAAATTATTGTTAATATCAGGGATGGAAAAAATCGTGATTTTTTAATTTTAATCAAATCATGCTGATTTTTTTAAAAAAATCATGATTTTTTTGATTTTTTTTTAATTTTTTTGTATATTTGGAAATACACGAGTTGGTAACACTTTTTAACATAGTAGGATTAAAAGTTTATGAATACAATAGCTGTTCCTCGCGACTTCGCCTGCGTGTTATTTGTGGTTTTAGTTTTTTTGCACGGAACCCTAATTCTTTTTCTAAAATAAAAGTAGCCTAAGTTACTCCTTATGACATCAGCTATCTGCCAGTGAAAGTCCCGTCAAAATCGGTCCAGCCGTTTCAAAGATTAGCCGGAACAAACAGACAGACAGACAGACAAAAATTAAAAAAAAATGTATTTTTGTTATACGTATCGTATATACTTTCATATGCATTTAGTAAAAAGCCGTAATTTTGACATTGCAAACAGACACTTCAATTTTATTTATTTGTATAGATATGTATGAAACTGATTAAGAGTAAAATAATTAATACATACTGTATTAATTACAGTTCATATACATATTAAGAGTGAATTTCTAAAAAATAAAAAATTTGATTTTAAAACTGACAGATCTCATCGCTACGTCTTTGTTGATTTTCCAAAGTTTATGAGACTATTGTAGTAGAATAATAAGAATAACATAAAACAACACAAGATTTTACTTTATTTTAAGCCAGCTTTATTTCATTTTCTGCCTATTACATTAATTTATACATGTTGATTTAAATCTATGATTTTTTTAATCAAAATCAAGCGATTTAAATCGTGATTTAAATCATGATTTAAATCAGTCTGATTTAAATCAGCCAACCCTGGTTAATATTCAATTGAAAATCCGAGTTACGCGGTTTGACCTTGCCCGTTTCATTATTTATTATTCTCTTGGTCATTTTAATTTTGCCGGATGCAGTTTTAATTTTGTTGCTTAAATGTAAAGCCTTAGCAGTGGAGCACACTTTTTTAAATATTAAAAAATATATTTTTACATAATCTCTAAATATAACACTACTATTATATGATCTTTCATCATAAAGCTCGTATAACCTTCACCTACTTTTATAAATTCCTACTGTCGCCCATTCATTAAATGATTTACGACTGTTAAAAGAGAAAGTTTTAGAAGTAAATATTCTACCAAATTCACAACTTACAATTTTAAATAATGTAGCATACAAATAATTAGCACTATTTTTAAACGAAAGTAATGGAAGTCTTTTTATTATATTACTTCTAAACCTCTCCAAGCGATGTTCATTTATTGGAACAAACACAACTTTCTTATTTTTCTGTTTTTTGTGTATGTAAGGTAGTGATACCAACTTTCACAGTGATCTGAACTTAAATTTTGAATAATTGATTTATGCAAGGGCTTAACATCTGTAAAAATGTTATCTATACAGGTCGCACTAGGCCCAATACGTGTTGGTTCTAAGAATAAATTTACAAGATTATGCGATTTAAACAATGAGCTAAACTTAATACTAATGGAAGAAGTTTCAAGGAGATTGATGTTAAAGTCTCCACATATTACAACAGACTTGTTCTGTTTACTAAGTTTGAGTAAAACTTCTTCCACAATCCTTTCAAAATGGTCATAAGTAGCACATGGGGGTCTGTAAACACTTAAAACAATGAGGTGCTCGAGCTCGACACAAGCCATTTCTACAGTTCGTTCAACAGAGAGGCTCACAATATCCTTACATTCTTTATATAATAATGACTTATCTGCAAATATTAAGGAGCCACCACGTAAACTTTTTTCTTTATTGAAGGAACTGACCACCTGGTGATTTCTGAAATTAAACATGAAGTTATAATCTTTTAGCCAATGTTCAGTAATACAAAGGATGTGTATATTGTTACTATTTAAAAACAATTCAACTTCCAATTCTTTGCCCAACATGCCTTGTATATTTTGACGCATCAGGTGTAAACAATTTTTATTACTTATTTGTGGGCTGTATTCAAAATTAATTAAACTCTTATTATTGCTAGAGATTGCCTCTATTGTCACATTCACTAATTTAAATTAGTTGGAACTGATTCCAAATTAAATGTCAAATGATTATGCTCAATAAAAGCAGTCTTGGTAGCCAAAAACTTGGCTCAGTTAAAAAGTAAATAATAAGAAATGCTGCATTTGCTATCAGTCTTAAATTATATTTGGATAAGCAATACCTATCTTTTGTCCAAAACTTTTTTATTAAATTATTTATGTCAATTACATGAAATTTATAATTATTATCATTACAATTATATGTCAAATTTAAATTAATATTATATATTCAATTATGCATTTGTGTATTTAAATTATGTCTTAAATTATTTTCCTGTGGCAATCCCTGTATATAAGGCAGTGTGAACAAGACAATTTTGTGTACATTCAAGTTATTAAGTTGTTCAATATATCTTAATAACTGTTTGTTGTTTACACTGCCTCTTCTACCAACAAAAATTATTATTGTACTATTTGGGCAAAATTTAGTAACAATAATTTTATTTAGGATGTCACTAAAAGATGATGAAAACAACTTCCAACAAACAACGGTGAAAAGTTTTGGGGATATAATGTCACTCTGTCTTACACCTCTCTGCAGTTGGATGGTTTTAAGGTGCTGGAGAGCCTGGGGAGTCAGGGATATCACAGGAATAATCTCACATAAAACTTGCTCTTGGATCATTTCTCACACTTGCATGTGGCTAAGTGTGTCTAAGAAGAAACAAAAAGAATATTAATATTAATATTTTTAATATTTTTCAGACAGTACCAAATGCAAAAGTAGGATTCAGTAAAGCTATGTCTTCAGGATGGATATGCATAGACAAATCTGGTGGAGCACCTTTAGTTAAAAGAAAAGTTGACAATATCCAAGATACTGTGCAAGATCATTTAAATGAAATCAAAAAAGGGATAGATAACTTACAAGATAACATTAGGAATGATTACAAGAAAAGAAAACTGCTACAGGAGATCACTGTAAAGAGTTTCATTTTGTCAAAAGGGCCACAGTTTGCGACAACTATTAAGAAATTAGAGACTGATTTAACTAGTGAAATGTTACAGACTGGATCGTGGAAGCAATTGCAATTTAAACCATACAATTTTGATGCTTTAGGTGAGTTATTTAATTTATATTAATTGAAAAAAAAATGTTTTTGTACATAACCATATAAATTTATACAAATGATTTTAAACTATAAACATTAAATCTGTATTCTTCTTCTATCTCATATGCATCTTTTAAATATCATTATCAGGCTGTTATAATCACCTTCTGATGGTCATAGTCCATCAAAAGGGAGGATTTTCTTTAATTGTTATACTATAAAAAAGTGATGACAATGCATCTGTGGGCTTCTTTCTTTGCAGTAGATTGCCAACCTTATGTTGGTTAATCAACACACATTACACCTGGTACTATAAAGCTGCAGTCAGAAAATCCACTTATTATCATGTTGATTGTTGCTGTCAGCCCTATGCTATAAAAAATTCTGTCTATACAAATAAATAAAATTGAAGTGCCTGTCTGTAATGTCAAAATAACAGCTTTTTACTAAATGCATATGAAAATATATATGGTACTTATAACAATAAAACAATTTTTGAAATTTTTGTCTGTCTGTCAATCTGTCTGTCTGTCTGTTTGTTCCTGCTAATTTCCTAAATGGCTGGACCGATTTTGACGAGACTCACTGGCAGATAGCTGATGCTATAGGAAGTTACTTAGGCTAATTTTATTTTAGAAAACAGAATTAGGGTTCCACCTAAAAAAAAAAAAACATAAAATCCAATTGCAATAAATTCCATGTGGGCGAAGTTGTGGGGAATACTAGTAATACATAACTACTCAACCGTCCACGGTGACTACAGTCCCCAAAAACAAATATTGCCTTACCTGTCTATGGTGGCTATAGTCACCAAACAACATATTTCGGTTTAAATGTGTACAGCGCAAAAGATAGCTGTTATTAATACAGTAAAAAATCATAGATGGTGCTATATGAAATTTGTCATCTGTGAAAGTGAATTTTATCTGTATAATAGTAACAAAATATTAAGAAAAAAAAGTTTTAATTAAATTTCGCCATTGTTGTTTGGGAAATGTTAAGGCGCAGGTTGAGCAAAATGTCGCGCTAGTCGTTATTTGTGCGGTTTTTATAGGAGCTATCTACTTTTTATTTAAAAAATATATTAACAAATAAAAAACACATTATATTTCTACATAATCTTGATTCCATAAAAGCTATATCCAATTTTTTTTAAACGAATAAATATTAATATAATCTCCTTACAACGAAACCACATAAATGTGAAATTATTATTGATAACATGCATCTCCTCGTAAAGTAAGTATTATTTTATTTTGCGATTTACACCAATGGATAGGCAATTTATTAATAAACATTTCTATAGTAATTTTTTTTTCAAAAGACCAAAATTTGATTTTATTAAGAAATTATTTTAAAATCTGGGCATATTCACTGCTCACGGGCTTGCTGAAGTCAGTGAGCCCTGAGCTCTTCGACGTGAAGCCCGTGTCGTTAGAGCGTCGACCAGCGCAACTCACGTCATATCAGTCGATAATAATATTACTTATTAGGTTATTTATAGGTAGTATTATTTGTTTGTTTTGGGTATAATTTTTCGTATTAGTTATACATATATTTGTTGTGTTTTTTACTGCGCGATGAAGCTTTTTGCGTGTATTTTCTTTGAAGTAAATGCAAATAAAAAAATGAAGCACCATTAGCATGTAAGGTTCGAATCCATAATTAAAATTTCGACAAATATTATAATTTACACTATAAAAGGCTAATTCAATATTATCACCCAACCACAATATCTTATTATGTATAGTACTGCCTCGTTGGTCTAGTGGTTGTAGTAGTGCGACTGCTGATCATGAGGTAGGGTTCGAATCCTGGGTCGGGCCCAAAAGTCAGTTATGAGTTTTTCATTTATGTTCTAAGTTATAATTAGTATTACTAAGTTATAGATTTTTTCTAAAATATAGTGTATTATTTATTGCTTGTTTTTTTTTCTTTTTCAAAAAATAATTGAGTAAATAAGGTGTTCTATACTTATAATTCGGTAAAAAGTATCTAAGTAGGTACTAATATACCTACTTTTTACTATTAACTAAAAATGTTTAAAACTAAATTTAACTAAAAAGACTAAACTGACCATTTATTTTTTAACTCAAAACAGGACATGGGTTTATTTATACTCTAAAAACTATAACTTTATACAATTAGTGTTCACTATAAAATTATATTCGGTATAGACGGTAATTATTAAATGCAACATATTTTTTTTAATTATTAATTACATTTGTCAGTGGATTAAATTTTCTTTAATAAAGTTGGTGATGATTTTAAATAAAAATAAAATTCTGCTCAAGTTTTTTTTATTGTTATCTTTGTTAACAACATCGCCTTTAGAACTCTGGAACCGTAAGTGTTTCTTTCAGACGTCCACAATTTATTCAAAATAAAAAAAATACTCTTTCTACCGGAGCATTCGTACCAGGTAGACATAAAATATATTCGATTAAAAAAATTATGTTGAAGATTGTTGACTTTGAATACTTCCATCCAACGAGTTACGGGACAATTTTGTGTCCCGGAGCTTTGTTTGGGGACAATGGGACAGGTGTCCGAGAAAAGGGACAGTCCCGTTCAAAACGGGACGTATGGTCACTTTAGCTATAACCCGGCGACGGCTACGTGGCGCAGTGGCTTAGCAATCAGTTGTTGCGCTGGGGGCCGCGGGTTCGAATCCCGCACGGATCAAGTATTTGTATGGCCTACAAATAATTGTTCCGGGTCTGGATGTTTGTCCTTGTGCAATTTATGTTTGTAAACTGCCTCCACGACACAGGAGAAAATCCTAGTGTGGGGGTAAGGTTTTTTTACAATTGAAATTGAAAGATTGGACCCTTATACTTCTTGTTGATTTTTGTATTACCTTTATTAAAGTTACCCTTATGTATAAATAAATATAATTACGTATGTAGAAATAAAATTGATTTTCATCCTCATCAATCATTGGGGTGAGGATAATGTCTGCCAGCATAAATAATAAGCAGGCTAAGTTACAAGGTGCTCAGTTAAAAAATTAGTAGGTAGGTATATTACTTTTCAATACGTGACACGTAAAAATTAACAATAATCAAAAACACATCTGCGAAACATCCTATTTATTTATTTATTTTATATTGCACCAAATATTTGTACAAAAGCCGAGCTATCTATTTATTTACCTATAGTGAATAGGTATCTTTTAAACTCACAATTTTCAGTACTTCATTTTTAATATATAATTAATTATAAAATTTCATAATTAGATAATATATGAAAATACATAATTCTAATATAATGCAACTAATATATACCGAATAAAAAAATTAAAATACATTTATCGTTGTACGCTGTGTGTATTTCCATAAAATAGTTTATTGATGTTGAAAAAATAATACTACGTTATATTGTAGCGAGCGGCGCGCCGGTCAAATGCTCAAGGCCGTTCGCATTGAGTAGCCCCTTAAAGTGTGAGAAATTCGATCAAAAATGTAATAACTTTTCTGTTTTTATACGTTATTTCTAATGTTATTGTAAATGAAACTAATTGTGAAGATATTTTCTTTAGTAAATATGTATCATTACGACAATTCCAAAACGTTTACATATACTAATTTAGCTCGAAATTTTAATCACTATACGCGATCATCGTTTATTGATTATATGTTGTTTAAAATATATTCTAATTAGTTATTTATGTTAAATGAATGCTAAATATATAAATATTCACTATTATACTATATTGGGTAAACATTATATACTTATGTATATAAGATATTATTGATATTGGTGTTATTTTAAAGGGAATATCATGTACTATTATAATATAAAATAATTGTCTCCAGTAAGTATTATACTTTTCTTGTAAAACTCGAAATAAAAAAATTAATACGATTTTTTTATATTCCCATTTTTAAGCTTTATTTTTAATTTGACTAATTTTCTTTTAACAAAATAAAATTTTAAATTCTTTGAGTTTTTTGAGAATATTTTTTATTTCAATGTAGCTATAGTAGTTTATCAGTAGTAATCGTTTTTGTTAAGACAGTCTCGAGCGGACGTAAAAAAAATAGTGACATTTAATGCGCGGGCAGGTGAGGCCGTGAGGCGAGAATCACTCGCGCGGGGTTGACGGTTAAGTGGATAAGAACTCTCCGCTAGGAGTAAAGTATTCTGTGATAAGAACATTTAAATTTCAAAATGATGTCTATGTATGAAGTGTTGTTATTTATGTTAATTCTATGACCACCATTGTGTATATTGCTATATGACGTGTTTAATCGTCAGTCCTTTCCAAAAAAATTCAAAAACAAAAATGTATGTCTGAAGTACAACATTAGTTTCAATATTTTTATAGGACAACCGCCAGAGTGCGGACATCTTCACCCACTTCTGAAAGTAAGATCGGAATTCAGGGAGATCTTCCTCGAAATGGGCTTTTCGGAAATGCCCACCAACATGTATGTGGAGAGTTCATTCTGGAACTTCGATGCTCTGTTCCAACCGCAGCAGCACCCTGCTAGAGATGCGCATGACACATTCTTTGTATCCTCGCCAGCTACTACTACAGATTTCCCCATGGACTATTTGGAAAGGGTGAAGAAAGTCCATAGTGAAGGTGGCTATGGGTCACAGGTTAGATCTATTATATCTTTTTTAGTGTTTATCGCGTATCTTCGACCGTGTTATAGTGGTATAAGAATATCCACTACTACTCCATATCATCCCGTAGGTATCGTAAGAGGCGAGATAGGCAAATAAACCAGGAGATGGGCAGCAGCGTCTTACAAATTAGAACTAAAAATAAAAAATTGCAGTTGCCAAACATTATAACTAAGGCAAATATCCTAGGGGGGAGGCCTATGTTCAGCCTACTTTTTATAGGCAATAACAGTAGTGGTAAAGATAGTGTTTTAAATCTTTTTGTTTTAAATTATTCTTATTTTTCAATCTTATTAGATTTGCACTGTAGTGACTACAAAAATTGTCCCAGTTCTGGATGTTTGTCTTTGTGCAATTTATGTTTGTAAACTGGCTCTCATAATACAGGAAAAAATTCTATTGTAGGAGTAACATTCTGTTTTTAAATTATGATGAAATAAAATTCATAGATTTTTGTCAGCAGTTGGCTTAAGGCCTCTGAAGACTTAACAGTCTTGGTCTTAAGCCTTGGACTGTTATAAATTGAATTGTTGACAGTTACCACTATTAGGCAATGTGGTCAAGTACTGGCTCAAGCAATAGTAAGTTAATTAACAAATTTCAAAAAGGAGATGTTTTTTTTTATATGTGAGTGCTATTTATCCCAGTTGATAGTAAATGGTGATGCAGCCAAAGATGGTAAAGTGTACTTACTTAACAAAAGCTTATTCAAGAGTGAATACTTGAGGACAGCCACATTATAATTGGATGGAAAAACAGATGCTGGCAAAATATTGTACTCCTTTGTTATTAACTCCATTGCTCTTTTTTAATGACAGTGATGAGGTGTTCTCTCTGAGTTTAGTTAACCCATTTAGCTTATTTTTTACTTTCAATATTTTAATCAGATCCAAGGCTAATTTAAGTATGTTTATAATTATTTATAACACAATAATTGTTCCACTTCTAATATGTGTTATATTTTGATAAAATACGAAATACCCATAAGAACGTATTCTGAGATAACCTGAGAATTAAAAAATATCTAAAAGATATGTTTCAAATGTAATGAGTAATAAGTTTGGTTAACGAGCACAGTCCACCTCATGGTAAATGGATGCTGTGGCCCATAGACATCTACATCTACCCTCGATTAACAATCAAAATGTAGATGCGTTGTCACCCGTGAAGACTAAGATAGAATGCCTCGTTTCCAGTAAAAAGAGTCTTCGGTTCCCCACATTCATCATATGAAACACAGCAAAATTAAGCTGCTATTTTACGTTAGTATTGTGTGAGTGCGTGCTCCTTACCAAGTAGAGCTAACCCATTTGTGCTACATCCATCATATAGCTACAGCGTGGCTCTACCAAACTTATTCTCTTATGCACCACAATTCACTACGCATATCATCTCGTGTATGTTGTAAGAGTCAACAAAAGGAAGCTGAAACAGAAGATGGGCAGCAGTTTCTAGCTGATGACAACTGAATATGACGCAATGCAATTGACGGATTGCAGTGATGACGGTGATGAATAATATTATATAATATTTCTATAACAGGGCTACAGATACGATTGGAAGATTGAGGAAGCGCAAAAGAATCTTCTTCGCACTCACACTACGGCCGTCAGTGCGCGCATGTTGTACAAGTTGGCGCAACAGACGGAGTTCACGCCGCAGAAGTACTTCAGCATTGATAAGGTGAGGATAATAATAAAAAAAAACTATTGGTAAATCCAATTGTGCATGCCTTAAGTGCATTAAACAAAGTAGTTTACACAAATTTTCATTAAAATACTATGCAGACGACAGCACAGTTCTGTAGAGATACCAGCCAAGTGCCCGGGCCAGTCGGGATCAAATCCAGTCTGAAAGAGAGGCTATGGTTGAGCGTGTGAATCTCACACTACAGGCAGTCTCCGAATGGGGCGATGCCAATTTCTTGAGATTCAACGGCCCTAAAACACAAGCGTGTCTGTTCACGGCTGAAAGGAGCCCGCTCACCCTAGCTCCTAGTTTCCGGAATGTATCCTAGGAGTACACTGACCGCCTTCAGTTGTTAGGGGTTGAATTTTCTCCGAACCTCAACTATGGGCAGTTCATTGAGTCCAGAGCCAAAGCAGCCGCAAGGAAACTTAGTGTCCTTGCAAGGGTGCGGCGGTACTTCACGCCGGGGCAGCTTCTTACCTCATAAAGCGCAAGTCCGGTCATGCATGGATTACTGCTGTCACATATGGGCTGGTGCTGCAAAATGCCACCTGGCAGCGTTGTACTCAGTGGAGAGACGTGCCAAGAGGCTTATTGGTGACCTTGATTTGGTTGAAACCAATCTTGTCAGTCTCGAGCACAGGTGCAGAATAGCCAGTCTCTCGGTACTCTATAGGATGCATTTCCGTGAGTGTCCGCAGGAATTACACGCTTTAATTCCTCCCTCTCCTCTCCACCATCGTACAACCAGGCGGTCGGCGGGTCTTCACCTTTATTGTGGATATTCCACGCATTAGAACCAAACGGTTTGCTTCGTCTTGTAATAAAATTAATGCGTACAGCAAAGGAGTGGAGCATTGCCGGCGTATATCTTTTCCGCCCGAATACAATCTGGGCGTCTTCAAGGCATAATTGAATAGGCTTTTGTTACGCTAAGACAGTGCGATTTACTATCTAAGGCTGCATCACCACCCAGGTGGGATTGTGGTCAAGCACTGGCTAATAATAAGAAAAAACAATCAAACCCAATAACTGACTGGCGCGACCCGGGATTCGAACACAGGACCTCATGATCATCAACCGCGTTTACGACCACTAGACCAACGAAGCAATCATTCATTCTTGTACTATATCTTTTCCAGGTGTTCCGTAATGAAACTCTGGACGCCACTCACTTAGCAGAGTTCCACCAAGTGGAGGGAGTTGTCGCTGGGCGTGGCCTGGGTCTTGCCGACCTTATTAGTGTGCTGGACGCTTTCTTCAAGAGGCTCGGCTTCGACAAGCTACAGTTCAAGCCCGCTTACAATCCTTACACTGAACCCAGTATGGAGATATTCGCGTATCATACAGGTAAGTGGTGGTGAACCCGATAAAATTGTTAGTTGTAATTTTAAGTGCTGATTTATCACGTGTGCAGCAATGAATGAAAACATCTTGAGTAAAATTGCATCTCAAACCCTCTCAGAAATGAGAAGCCTGTGCTCTGTGTCATGTTTTTTTTTATAGGAGAGGAGGCAAACGAGCATGAGGCTCACCTGATGGTACGTGACTACCGCCGCCCATGAACAACTGCAACACCAGGGAGGGAATTGCAGATGATGGTATTCGATCGCTGATGGTAATCGATTCCACAAGGAAGTCGTGCGAGGAAGAAAACATCTTCTAAATCGCACAGTGGTGGACCGCCAATCATCCAGATGGTGTGGATGGTATCGGGAGTTCTGCCGCGATGTGCGTTCGTGAAATTTGGCGGCTGGGATTAATCCGAACAATTCCTCAGAGCACTCCCCGTGGTAGATGCGAAAGAAAATGCAAAGGGATGCAACATCTCTTCGCAGTGCCAATGAATCGAGCCGATCGGAAAGGGCTCGGTCGTCGACGATTCGAGCCGCTCTGCGCTGGATGCGGTCAAGTGGAAGGAGCTGGCACTGGGGAGCCCCTGCCCAAAGATGGGAACAGTATTCCATGTGGGGCCAAACTTGCGCTTTGTAAAGTTGCAAGCGATGTGCCGGCATGAAATACTGTCCCGCTCTGCTGAGCACGCCAAGCTTTTTAGAGGCCAATTTGGCCTTCTCTTCCAAGTGACCACGAAACTGCACGTCACTCGATATGTCGACTCCGAGGATACCGATACTGGCTGAGGCAGCAAGGGGAGTGCCTTGAAACTGAGGATATACGAGAAAGGGGTTCTTTTTAGCGGTAAATGCGCAAACTTGTGTCTTCTGAGGATTAAACTGGACTAGATTTAGTCGCGCCAAATCCGAGACTTTGTTCAGCAAAGACTCGACTTCAGACACAAGTTTGTTCCGGTACTCGGCGACGTTTTCCCGAGAAATATTGGCACGACCGGTGTATAGAGTATCACCAGTGCTGTCATCCGCATAGTAATGAACGTTACCAGTTAGCAACATATCAAAATGTATATAGTCTATTTACTTAACTTTTTACTGGTAAGTAATATCTCAATATGTGCGTGCGACTAATCTATGAAAATTGTTTACTAGGTCTCGGCAAATGGATTGAGATTGGCAACTCCGGTGTGTTCAGACCAGAGATGCTGCTGCCGATGGGTCTTCCGGAGGATGTGAACGTGATTGCTTGGGGCCTGTCGCTGGAACGGCCCACCATGATTAAATACGGCCTCAACAACATCCGCGACCTCGTGGGGCCCAAGGTCGACCTTCAAATGGTCCAAGCCAATCCCATTTGTAGGCTTGATAAATGATTTCCTGTAATATATTGTATAAATTATTTCTGTTGTGTTTTATTAATTTACCGTAAAAAACCTCTACTATACCACATCTATTTAAACTTTTATTTTATACTAGAAACTCGCCCTGGCTTCACATAAGTAGGATCTATTAATATGGCGTTAGTTAGATTTAAGACGGTCAAAGACCATTCATTTTTTGAAGTGGAAACCGTTCTTTAACATTGGTAGGATTTGAAACTCAATGAAAGGAAAAAGCGACACTAAAAAGAGACATATAAATCTATAGAAGAGAATGAGATAGAATCTATACTAATGTAATAAAGCGGAAGAGGTTTTTTGTCTGTTTAAACACACTAATCTTTGGAACTACCAATCCGATAGCCAGATTCATTTTGGGGGAGGGAAAGCCCTACACTTCGTCCGCCGGTACGAGGCCGCCACACGGGAACCTTTTTCGGTCACTCTGGTTCTACTGCGGTTATCCTCATTTCTAAGTTTATCATACAGATAAACCCCGAGTATAGTCCCCTCCATAGCTCGCTGAGCAACCTTGAGCTTCCTTATACGGCCGGAAGTGAAGGACCACGTCTCAGTTCCATAGGTCACTCACGCATTGGTTGTACAGTCTCGTTTTTAAGTATTGAGGTATACCTGACGAGAAGATGTGCCATAATTTCCCGAACGCTGCTCAGACGAGTTGAATCCGTCTATTGACCTCGAAGTTGGACTTACCTAGTTGGACTATTTGTTCCAGGTAAACATACTCGTCAACAACTTCGAGCTTAGTGCTCCCAACAACTACCGGCATAGGTGTGACATGAAACAAAAACACAAACTTTTTTTTCAATATACATTATAAATAATACTTATTGAAAGTCACTCTTTTACTTAGTTACCACCGGTTCGAAAAAAATCTCTGTCCTGGGAAGAACCAGCAAGAAAACCAACGGGACTTTTTTAAATAACAGCTTACAATCATGTATGTTACATAATTAACCACACAAAACAAATTAGAAATAGCTTGGTAACGATCACCTAATCCCCAGGGGTTATTCATCATCATCATCATCATTACAGCTTTCATAAGTCCACTGCTGAACATAGGCCTCCCCCAAGGAATGCCAGAAAGCACGGTCCTGAGCTACCTGCATCCATCGACTTCCTGCATGTCTTACCAGGTCGTCACTCCATCTAGTGGGGGGCCGCCCTACACTTCGCCTACCGGTACGAGGCTGCCACTCGAGAACCTTTCTTCCCCATCGGTTGTCGGTTCTTCGAGCTATATGGCCGGCCCACTGCTACTTCAGCTTACTAATCCGTTGGGCTATGTCAGTTACTCTGGTTCTACTGCGGATATCCTCATTTCTAAGTTTATCACGCAGAGAAACTCCGAGCATAGCCCTCGCCATAGCTTGCTGAGCGACCTTGAGCTTCCTCATACGACCAGCAGTGAAGGACCACGTCTCAGATCAGTAAGTCATCACTGGCAACACGCACTGGTTGTACAACTTCGTTTTCAGGTTTTGAGGTATGTCGACCCATAAATTTCTTAATATTATAATAACCCTTTTTGTACAAACTTTTAATAAAACCAAATCGGCGATACTTTGAAAATGGGCCAGATTAGGAGTACCCTTAACTGACAAGCTAAGGATGTAAAGGAGGCGAGAAAGGTGTGTCAGGATCGCGTCAAATGGAAGTCCGTAGTCTCTGCCTACCCCTCTGGGTGACAGGCGTGAGTGTTTGTATTTGAATATATATATATATATATATATTTTAATAAAAATGTTTAATAATGTTTTTAAACTTTGAGCATGTTTGTACTGTATGTTTTTTTTAATGTGTGTTACCTTATAACTTTTTACTGGGTGAACCGATTTCGATGTTTCTTTTTTATTTAAAAGCTGGCGCTTCGCATGTGGTCCCATAAAAATTAGATCTGGTCAAGGTCTGACCAATAGTTTTTGAGTTATTCTTAATGATTTATATTGAAGTCGGTTGTACAAATTTTTTAATTTTAAATTATTATGTCGTAAAAGTCTGCTTGCTAATTTTGATATATCCATTGAAGCTTCGCGTCTAGTGTTATTATTCCAAGAAATATATTGGTATCGACAAGACTCAGTTCCTCCCCATTTAAAATTACATTAGTATTTAATTGTTTGACATTTGGAGTCATGCATTTCATACATTTAGTTTTAGTGCCATTTAAATACAAGTTATTAACATTAAAACACTTTACTAATTGAGATATAGTATCATTTACTTCGTCATATTTTAATAATTGTCGTTTTAATTTGAAAATTAATGAAGTGTCATCAGCAAATAATACAATATTATGGTTATCCACTACTATGTAAGGTAAGTCATTAATATATACAAGAAACAGAAAGGGGCCGAGAATTGAGCCTTGAGGCACGCCCATTTGTACTATCGACCAAAAAAAGCTCATACTATTAATGACAACTATTTGCGTTCTGTTACTTAAATATGAAACAATTAATTTAAGAACATTACTACTTACACCGTAGTATTGTAGTTTCCTGATTAATGTTTCATGGTGAACACAATCGAAGGTCACAAAATAAACCCAAAGCATCCTGTGAATTCTCCCATTCATTGAAAATATATTTAATCAGCTCAACACCAGCATGAGTTGTCGAGTGACCCCTTGTGAAACCGAATTGATTTTTATGAAGTAAACTATTTACACAAAAAAAAATTTAACATTTGATCAAGAATAATTTTTTCAAAAATCTTACTAAGTGTTATTGGTCTAAAATTGGCGGGGTCTAATGTACTACCAGATTTAAATAAAGGTATTACTTTACTATGCTTCATTAAATCAGGAAACATACCATATTCGATACTAGTATTAAAAATAATAGCTAGATGAGGCGCGATTATATCTATTATAGACGCAATAACTAACGGAAATCCCTCACAGATCTGCAGTATTCTAAACATAAATAGTTTTAAAATATTTTGAAATATTGTTGCGCGCCACTATTAATTTCTTGTATATGGAAACACTAGTTATCACTAGCGCCCTCTAGTGTCGAGTTGCAAAACTAGGAGAGTCAAGATCCTTCTAGAAATTTCAGGACCGATATGTACTCGAAAATTCTACATATCGCTACAGTAGAAGGTTCGGGAAACAATCTGAGGCCCTATATAAGGCCGGTATAGATCACGATCGAGTCAGTATTGATATGGCGATATAAGCGAATACTTCGAAGTGACTATATAACTGCAACTAAAGTGATCAGTAGTACAATTGTGTTTATTATTAGTGTGGTTTTAAATTGTAATTAGTGATCTGTAATTAAAGTGTCAATTTTGGTAATTCACTCGGCAGTTTTAGTTTTCTCGAACGCCAAGCTCGTAACAATATCTTTTGATGATATTTTATGAAATGTAAAATTCTTTGTACATGCATTTACATTTTAATGCTTTTTTAATTCTAATGATTTGGTGAAGAAGAATTCAGTGACTTAGTGGTTAAGATCGGAATATCAGTAAAATATTTCTCATGGACGTTATACATGATTTTTGTTTTTTGTCCATGTTCATCTTAAGACCTATCCGTATGGAGGCACTATTGACGTCATTGAGCATAGTGCTTTAAGTCCTTCAGCGATTCTGCCATAAGAACTATATCGTCGGCAAATTCAAGGTAAGTAATGTACTCGCCGTTGATGATAATACCGTATCCTTTCCAGTCCAGTAGCTTGAAACCGTCTTCCAATGCAGCGGTAAAGAGTTTCGGGGATATAACGTCACCCTGTCTTACACCTCTCCGAAGTTGGATAGGTTTAGTACTCTGGTTCTATACTCTGATAGCCATCGTAGCCCCACTGTACAAACACTTTAGAACTTCGATATACCGACAGCCAACTTGGCACTGCTGAAGGGATTGCAGCACCGCCCAAATTTCGACGAAATCAAAGGCATTCTAGTTCACATACGCCATACATAGTGACAAATTGTACTCCTCGGACTTCTGTACAATTTGCCGAAGGGTATGTATGTGGTTTATGGTGCTAAAGTCTTTTCGGAAACCGGCTTGTTAGGGAAGTTGGAAGTCGTCGAGTCTGCGTGCGAGACGATTCATAATGACTCTCGAAAACAGCAAGTAGACGCGGCTCAGAAGGGAAGTCGGTCTGTAGTTCTTCAAGAGAGCGTTGTCGCCTTTTCCCACCCGCTTTCAGAATCTCCGCTGTAATCAGTTTCATTTCCTGTCTGACAGTCATGAGATTAAGAGTGAGATCGGAGAGATTTTGTGTTCTTCCCCGGCGGGTCTTGCAGAACTTAGCTCCGACTGCATGGACAGTTTCCACGAACTTGTCATTCATATCGTCCACTGCATTGCAATCTTCTAGGCACTCAAAACAATTTTGTAGCTCGAGCTGAAAGGTTTCTGAACATTGGATTAGGGCACGAGGGGGACGGAGCGTTGACTTCTTTAGATGAGACCTCTCCAACTTAACGTTTAGGTTCAGTGTGCCACTCACTATTCGGTGATCGCTGCCGGTTTTCATCCTCGCGATCTTTGAAACATCACTGAACAGTTGTCGTCTCGTCGTCCTAATGAAGTCAATCTCATTTTTTGTCGAACCGTCGGGGCTCGACCAGGTCCACTTCCTGTGGGGCCGTTTCTGGAAGAAAGAGTTCATCATAAAGAGTCCCTCTTTCTCCATGAAGTCAGCCAGCTGCTGGCCCCTTGGGTTCTGTTGCCCTATTTTAAATTTCTCTACCTTCAGCTCACCGTTCTCTCTTGTGCCTAGTTTAGCGTTGAAATCTCCCATTAACACCGTATAGTGGGTTTTGGAGGAATGCCGAGGATCACCACCGGGATATGCCGAGGTTGGTGCGTAAACCTGTAGTATGACCTTCTGCGAATACCGTTTGGTGATTATGAGTATAAGGTACGCAACTCTCGTCGACACTCAATCTTTACAACGTTGTTAACGAGAGACTTGTGGACGATAAATCCGACACCTCCTTGGGACAGATGGTCGCCGTCCCGGTGATAGAATAAGTTGCTGGATTCGAGGATTACCATGTCCTCCCCCTCTCTTCGGACCTCGGATAATCCTATAATATTCCAGCGCAACTTGTATATCTCTTCTTACAACTCCAGAATCTTCTCGTCAGTCCTCAGGGTGCGTGCGTTATTTGTTGCCAGGTCGAGTCGTCTTAGGTGGCAACCGAACCTCCACCGGAGATTCTTAGCACCCCCTGCCCCGCCGTTAGCATGGTCGCCACCGTAGTTAGGAATAACGGGGCCACCGGGGACTGGGGGCCGTCTCTTCGTAACTTTTTTCATGGGGTATATTGCCATAGTTACCATGCTTGGCGAGCGGGTTGGCAACGACAGTTTTTTAATGTTGTTTTGCTGTTGAATCAGAAAGATGTTGCTGCCCATCTTCTGCCTCAGTTTCCATCTCTCGCCTCTTACGACACCCACGGGAAGATATGGGGTAGTGGGTATTTTTACCCGCTACTACACGGGGCAGCTAGTTCAGTATAAAATATTTCGTATTATCTCGGTATCCTCTGTGTGCAGTACTTTAAAGATAGTTAATATAACTTTCAACTGTTAAAATAAAAAATTATAAATATATCATGAAATACATTGAATAAAATTATAATATCCAAACCATTCTTAACAATCCACGATTTCATATCTTACCGATTTATATTAAATTAGTTTGAGAGTCAATCAATTTATGATCTATAAAATTATTTTATCTATAGAATGAAGCAGATGTTGCTATTACCATACATATTACAAAGCAATTCTAGTCAAAATAAAATACCATTTTGATTTAATACACAAAAACTACCTACTACTCTGAGATAGTAATCAATA